TTTTACGTAAAATGGTTCTTTCGCCGAAAGCCAGCTGATTTACTTCGGTCGACAGGTTATTGAAGGTTTGAAATACTTGCATGGCGTAAAGATCGTACATAGAAACATCAAGCCAGCCAACCTGCTCGTGAATTCAAATATGGTGCTCAAGATTTCAGATTTCGGCTTCAGCAAGATCATCCGCCCCACCGTTTTCTCCTCCAGCTCTTCGGACGGCACCGTTTACATGAATCCCCAGCGATTTAATCCTCAAACCTGCGGTGAAGAAGACAATCTTTACGCAGAAGATATCTGGAGTTTTGGGGTGACTTTACTGGAGCTTTACGTGGGTGGGTTTCCGTTCTTGGAACCGGGTCAGAAACCCGACTGGTCGACGGTGATGTACGCCGTTTGTTACGGCGTCCCCAGCCTTTATGATTGCTCCTCCCTGTTTCGCAACTTCATCGGGTGTTGTTTGCATAAAGATTTAGGGAAAAGATGGACGGCGTCGCAGCTGCTGGTTCACCCGTGTTTGTTTCCTCCGTTGTTTTCTCGTTAAACGGCGTCGCAGCAAGATTATCCTCCTTTTAAGTGTACTAATCTCTCTCACGCTTAACGAAGGCATGAAGAAATTCATGTAATAGCTATAGGCATTAAACGGCGTCGTAGCAAGATTATATCTTGAACAAATTGCTATGCGCATTCGTGTAAAGAGAAAATAAAGAAGGCTTCTCTACAGTTCTTGAAAATAAACAAAACAGCGCTAACTAATTCATATGCACATGACCACATATATACATATATATATATATATATATATATCTTCTCTTATATTAATTTAGTTTAAATAACTGCCGCGCTAACTAATTCGTACCCACATTCGAGAACATGGCGACTGTATATAAACACAGCAGAGCCGTTACAGTCTCTTCAGACTAAAGATTTTCTCTCGCTCTCCGCAAACAAATCACAGAAACAGAGAAATTGAACCCTAACCATAATGCCCGAGGACCCTGCTCCATCACGTCCCAGATTCCGCCTTTCCATCCCCCAAACTCCTGAAAATTCTTACAACCTCCCTCCCCTTCCACCTCCCACCACCACCACCACTCCCGCCATCTCCTACTACGACCTCCACAAGATTCAGGTTCTTGAACGCAGAAATGGCGCCACCATCCACAAAGTCCAACAAATCTCCACCTCTCAGCTCTACGCGCTCAAGACCTTCCACGCCGCCAACAATCCCGCTGTTCGCCAACAGCTTTTGCGGGAGATCGAAATTCTCCAACTCACCAACTCGCCGCACGTTATTCGCTGCTACGTAATCTTCGAGATGCCTTCCGGTGACGACGAGCTACTTTATGAGTACATGGACGCCGGCTCTCTCGAAACCCTTTTACGTAGAAATGGTTCTTTCTCCGAAAACCTACTGGTTCACATCGCTAGACAAGTTCTTGAAGGTTTGAACTACTTGCATGGCGTCAAGATCGTACACAGAGACATCAAGGCCGCCAACCTGCTGGTGAATTCAAATATGGAGATCAAGATTTCGGATTTCGGCTTAGGCAAGATCATCCGCCCCACCGTTTACTCCTTCAACTCTTCTGACGGCACCGTTTACATGAGTCCTCAGCCTCAAACCTATGCTCAAGACGACAATCTTTACGCGGAAGATATCTGGAGCCTTGGGGTGACTTTATTGGAGCTTTACGGGGGTGGGTTTCTGTTCTTGGAACCGGGTGAGAAACCCGACTGGGCGGTATTGACGTACGCCATTTGTTTCGGCGAGCCGAGTCTTTATGATTGCTCCGGATTGTTTCGCAGCTTCATCGAGTGTTGTTTGCATAAAGATTTAGGGTTAAGATGGACGGCGTCGCAGCTGCTGGCTCACCCGTTTTTGGCTCTGTAAACATTAAACGGCGTGGCAGCAAGGTAATCCTGGTTTTAAGTGTACTAATCTCACGCTTAACAAAGGCATGAAGAAATTAGTGAACATCTTGAACGATGTAATTACTCCTTAATTCAAATAGGTTTAGTCATTCATGTAAGGAAATCCACAAATAGCTGTAGGAGTTCATGTAAAGGAGTAAAAGAAAAAAGAAATTCATTCAAGAATAATAAAAGAAGGCTTCTTTAGAGGTCTTGAAACACGAAAGCGTACCCTGTTTAATTCATGTATATGAGACTACTTATATATATATATAACTGTATGTATATATATATATATTTATAACTCTGACCATATCCCAAATAACTGTTTATTCAGCTTCTAGCTGAGATTTTTTCTCTTCCTCTCCAAGAAAATCACAGAAGCAGAGAAGAATACCCTAATCATGGTGGCCGTCGTCTCTGCTCCACCACGTCCCAAACTCCGCCTCAAATTCATCAAACTCTACTCAACCTCCCTCTGCTTCCACCTCTAGCCACATCCGCCTCCATCGTCTCCTACTCCGACCTCCACAAGATTGTTGGAGCTGAAGCAGCTCTAATACTGTTGTAGGGACTCAACTGAAAACGTTAAACTGTTTTTGGGCCTAAACGTAGATTTTATAACTTCAGGGGCAATTCTGTAACTCAGGATAAAATGATATCTATTATGTAATTTTAGGAAAAGGGGGGTGTATTCGTAATTTAGAAAAGATCTTTTCTTCTTCGGGGATACAAAACAGAGAGAGTGGGACGCGACACATTTTCTGAAAGGCAAAACTTTCGCCGCTGTTGTCGACTTGCCATTTTCTTCTCTTCTTCTTCTTCTTCTTTCTTTGCGGGCATTCTGGAGCCTTCTTCTTTTCTTCCTCAACTGCCAATCTCGAGTCTTCTTTCTCTCTCTATCTGTCTCTCTACTCGCGGACCTCTGTTTCCAACTTCTCCAGGCGAGCCTCTGTTTCCGGCTTCCCCAGATCCTTCTCCATTTTTCTATTTTTTATTTTTATTTTTCTCCTTTCCACCGCCATGCTTCACTGCCAAAGAAAATGTATTAAAGACAACAAAGATTAAAGTTCTTGGACGCGGAAATGGCGGCACCGTCCACAAAGAATGAAATTCTCCGATTCACCGACTCGCCGCATCGCCTCGCCGTACGTTGTTCGCTGCCATGGAATCTACGAGAAGCCTTCCGGCGAAGTCAAAGTACTTTTGGAGTGCATGGACGCCGGCTATCTCGACGCCCTTGTACATGAACAAGAGCTGATTCACGTTGCTTGACAGGTTCTTGAAGGTCTAAAATACTTGCATGGTCTCAAGATTGTACACAGAGACATCAAGCTCGCCAACCTGCGGGTGAACTCAAACATCGAGATCAAGATCCTCAGACCTACGGTGAAGACAATCTTTACGCGGGAGATATCTGGAGTTTTGGGGTGACTTGATTGGAGCTTTACGTAAGTGGCTTTCCGTTCTTGGAACGGGTTCAGAAACCCGAATGTCCGGCGTTTTGATGTAAGGCATTTGTTTCGGCGAGAGGCCCAGTCTTTCGGAGGGTTGCTCCGACGAGTTTCGCAGCTTCATAGAGTGTTGTTTGCACAAAGATTCGTGCATTTTCTTATTTACAGTTGTGTAAATAGATGTCATATCACATACTACATTGCTCTGTTTGAAGATAAAGATTTAAATAAAGGATCATAACTGGAAATCTGAAATTTTCTGCAAAATAATTTTCTGAAGAACTATATTGCTACAAACTTAATTACAAATTAGTGAAGAAATAAACTACATTTAAATAAAGGATCATAACTGCAAGAAGCAAGCCACGATTTTCACATACTGGAAAATGAAAAACTGAATCCTAAGTCTAGAAACTGCTGTTGACTTAATAAAAGATAAATATGTAGGAGTGCAGTTTCTAAAGCACAAATAAATAACAGGGGACTTTAGAGCTTCTACTGGCCTTTTTAAAAGTACAGGTTTGACATATGACACCAAATTTTAATAATATAAGAGTCAAATAATTATTTTTGACATAAATCTTATTGGCTCACCAAGTCTGTACTTTGTTTAGCCTTGTTCCCTTCTACCAGATTAATCCACAATCTTTAATAACATCAACTCTGCTAAAAGCTGCACAAGAATCAGTGGAGTAGGAAGACATCAGGCTGAAGGCAATGGGAGAAAGCTAGGATAAAGGAGCTCGATTCTCATCTATGGAGAAGAAGAGGGTTTCTCAGTTCGAGGGGAGAGATTTTAGTGGAAATAAATTCCAAAAAACATGAGAGAAACTAAAGAAGGGAGAAGCTGATTTGGAGAAGACAAATAAGACACCCGAATCCAAAGAAGAAAATTTGATCAACACAATCACATGTGGGTGACCAGATGAGAGACTCTTCAAGAGAGATTGATTTTCCATAAACTCCAACATCCAATAACCAGAATGAAAATATGGCTAGACTTCACTAATCAATACCCAAGATCATTTTAACAATATTCTAAAACATATTTACAATGGCACTTTGCTCCTGCACAAACCATACACAAAATCATTTTCTATCTGCAATGGAACTCTACAATCAGTATAACCAGATGGGTTTCTAACCCTCCATTACATCACAAGGAAACATAGTCCATCTTCCTGCTTTAACTACAACGAGGAAATGTCTACAATGACTTTGTTTGTACCAAGTCAGTGTAACCTGCATTTTTTTTTACCGTTACCTTTATCTTTCTGTTCTATAATGACGGTAAAACAGTAAAGAACAGTATAAAATTATCTCAAGTTCATAATATTTACAGGCAAACATAATTATATTGCTAAATCGAAATGCAATGCAATCAACATTTTCGTGTAACCCTCAGAACCCAGAGACAGTACTCAAATCACAGCTTACATTTGGCGAGACTAGGATCTTTCATCTCCCAACCAGTTGTCCTTCTCTTTCGGTCCGGTTGGTCCCTCTTCTCCATAGAGCTCTGTTGGAAATAGATCAAAGATGTTCTCCACTGAGAACCGAACAAACAATGGGAGAAGATTGATAATCTTATCGAGTTCAGACCTTGAGTCATAAACAATGGTTGGACCCCATTCTCTCATATACAGCAACCAGCATGGCTCAGTAACAACTCCCTCTCCTAGATACTCTGCCGCAACAATCTGGTACTTGCTGCTAGAATCCACGAAAAAATTGCTTCGAGCGGTATCATTACGAACTCCTATTCCAAGCTTTGATGACCCTTGCAAGTAATTCCCGGGATGTGGGAAACTAGCATGACCACATTTCGATGAATACACAATTGGCTTATTCCCTTGAATGAACTCCAAGCCAGATGTGTCCACCCAAACACCACCACTGTGCTGTGAAAAGTATACTTGCCAGAGCTCTCCGGTAAAGTTGCTTATGCGGAGGGTGAAGTGCTCCCAATCACATACGTGCTCTCCAATCCTTGTCATTGGTATGCTCATCAGTCCAATTTTAAGTGTAGCTGGTCCATTGAAGGGACAAAATACCCACATTGCAATATCAGTAAATGTTCCTCCTAGTGCTGGTTTTACATGAACATACAGCTCTGCACTCTCTAGGTTTCCCTTCTTCAGATAATTTCTTGCATCATCATCCTCGGGCAAATCTATCCAAAACTCACCATCATTAGCCCCTCCACTAGGCAAGTTTGAGCCTCTGTAATCGATGGGTTCACCTTTTCGTTTCCCATGGCAATACAAACGTGCTCCATTTTTGAAAAACCATTGCACTGATGACGGCATGTACTCATCATCAGGATGAAAGAAAACAGTTGGCCCATAGTGTTTGATAAGAGCATGTAATTGGTCCAAATTTGGCATTGCTTGTAGAGTGCGATCCAGATTCTTTAGACAAGCTATCTCTACATCGCTTATAGACTTCAAGTAGGTACTGCAAAAGAACGTTCCAACAGAAACTCCTCTGCACAGCATTCCTCTTTTGCAGGGCCTCATCTTCCAAACCTGAAAAGAGTTCCTGGAAGAATTTGAATCTGTGCTAAATATCACATCACAGGTCTCACAAGTTGCAGTGAGATCCTCCCGGACACATCTAACTTCATCAAGTTCAGGCTTCTCTGACTCCTTAGTGACGACAATTCCCATGGCTTTGTATCCAACTGGAGGGTTAGGCAGCCAAAAGTAACCAGAACCATCATGCGAATCTGTGCCCCATATTAAAGAATAACCAAGGGGCTTTCTTAGAGCTGGATTAGGACTGTGATCAAATTCTGGTCTGTGACAGGTAGCATCACGAGCTACAAGTACATATCCTTTCAATGGCTGATTATTGGGCTGGCAATAGTAACTAGGCAGAAGAAGCCTTCTGGGATCTTCACAGGTTTGTAAAATGTTGCCCCTTTTGATTTTCCATGCATAAATTGCAGCTCCAAATTTTCTTAAATTTGGTAATCTGCATCACTTCTAGTTCTCCTAGGTTTATTTTTCCAGTAGCAAAACCTTGGCCTGAGAAGATAATGGTACATCATGTTAGCAGTTATACAATGCATTTACAGGTTGAATATGCCAAGCTACATATTATGAATATGATAACCAGACGATTAGATAGAAGTATTCAAGAAACGCAATTACGTAGTGCACTACCAGAAACCTGATGCTTACTTCTCAGATTAGGAGAACATTAAACAAAATAAATAGGAAAAAACAAAACAATCCTATCAATAAAACAACCTATAATAGCAGATAACAAAGAATCATCATTCAATATCTTTTAGCATATCTTTTAGCTTGTACATAGTTCATCCTTATTCTTTATAAAAAACAAAAAGGTATTAGGAAATGAGAACTTCAGATTTTAACTTCTGACTTTCTCCATTTTATGCACATCCTATTGGTTGAAGCAAATTCACAAAATATTTACATATACTGGTTATTTCTCTAAGTTATACATAATAAATGCTACCTAAAAAGGCTCAATTGCAGAATAATCACTGACTTTTAACTCCTTGAATTTGGTCCTTAACTTTTCAATTTTCGCAATTATGTATTTGACCTTTACTTTTTCTCGAAACCGATTGCTCAGCTAATTTATATCTTGTATAAACAGATGTTGGACTGATGGATTAAAATGACAGATCCAAGCGAAAATTAAATTGAGAAATTTACATAATATGGGTTGCGAGTCAAAGAGAGTAAAGTTAAACAATGCATTCAGCGGGCCAAGTTAGAAACTTTTAAAACTGAGTAGGATGCTAAGTACGGCATGTTATTACATCAAATGTCTAGAAATGTAGTCATTTTAACAAATAAGTGAATTGGAGGACTAACTTGGAAAAAATATATAAAAAGCATGGATTTAACTAAAGCAATTAGTAGATCAGGGATCAAACCAAATTGAAAAGAGTGAAAAATCAGGAACTGATTTTTGTAATTATACCTATTAAAAGATAAACTATTGCTATGTGCCCTATGCAAGGTAAGGATAAATACTACGTGCTGAAAACAATAAGTAGTAGTCTTAAATCCATAAACAGGCCTATGCATATTTAAATTTTCTGTCTTTCAATCAACAAAATTTGTCATCAAACAAAATACCACTGAATTTATTTTTGCATCTCAAAATAAGCAACATTTTATTTAATTATTTATTAAGAGATAGAGAGAGAGAGAGAGAGAGAGAGAGAGAGAGAGAGAGAGAGAGGTAAGTAGTATGTTTGAAGAAACAACAAATATCAAAGCCAGTATCCTTTTTTTAATAAAACCAAAGCCATTATCCTTGAAAGAAATGAAGATCATTTACTTAATAAGGTTTTTCAATCAAGAATCCACCATGTATTCATCTTTCTCTTTAATTTAAGCATTCAACATGATCCATTTGAATTACCAAAAAACAAAAAATAAGAACCACTAGGATTAACTAGAGGAAAAGAGAAGGGCCATGTGCTGATACACAAAGCATATATCTCACCGATAGCATACCATTAATTTCATGATCATCAACCAGCCGCATAATTCTCTGTTTCTATTTTTTAATTAGGTAGAGACCTAAATGAAAACTGAACTAAGAAAAGAAAATTCCAGGAAGGAAAAAATAAATCCAAACCCACAAATTATATACCAAAAACATTACTTCTTCAAATAGCTCTAGCCAATCAAGTAAGAAAACCCAGAAATTTTGCTTCTGAAAGTTTACCATGAGGCTTCTAAAACAGGAAAGCTTACCTTGAGGCCATGGTGGAATGGGAGAGGGCAGAGAGAAGGGCTGTGGCTCGGGCAAGTCCAACTCAGTGTTGACTCGGCTCCAGTAGAAGCACTCACAGCCAAACATCTTCCTCAACGGATTCAAAATCCCAACAAAACCCACAAAAAATTTTCAACAATACGAGCTTTGACCCTTTTCAATTTCTCACTTGTACAACAAACAGATAAGGAAAAGCAAACCCCTCTCTCTCTCTGCACAGCAAATCCAACCAGAGAGAGAGAGAGAGAAGTAAGGTTTCAGTACTTAGAAGACAAAGAAGATGTTCCTCTGTCTCAAAGCTCTCCCTTGCTCATCATATACTATTCAACGGAGAGAGAGAAGGGGAGGAATTTTGTAATCAAATAAATGAAAGAGAAGAGAAAGAGAAGGGTTTTACTTTTCAAGGAAGACCCTGTTAGAGATTTTACTTTTCAACACAGACCCTGTTCTTAATTGATCTCCTTGGACATATACACACAATACATATGGATAATGATGGAACGGTTACAGGTGGAGTGAGACTGAACTTTTTCTATTTGAAGTTTGAAGACGAGAGAGAGTGAGAGAAGGGAAATGTTAAAGTTGTGCTTGGAAGAAAGAGGTTGAGTGAGAAGAGAGGAATGTGACAGAGAAGGAAGATGTTGCCATTAATTACTCTTTTTAGCTCTCTGTTTTGGTTCTTTTCTGCTTTTTTTTTTCAGGCAAAAATATATATATATATATTTCATTATTTTATTATTTAAAACTAATCTGTTGTTGGAGTTGGTTTGGTTCTGATGGCAGGAAAGCCACCTACACTTTGTTTATTTATTTATTTTTATTTTTAACTAAATAATATTTTATAAATAATTAACAATAAAAATTTTATTTAAAATTAGATACAATATTCTAAATTTTATTAATTTTATATAAAATTTATAATTTTTTAATTAAATAAATATAATTTTTTTTATTAAATAAAAGTCTTTAGTTACATATTTATTCAAACATTAAACACTTCGAAGTGTATTTAGCCAAAAAAAAGTATATACTAATATTGTTGGTAGACTATATTTATATATTTAGAAATTTAATTAAAAATATTTTTGTGTTTACTTGAGAAGGTATTTTTTAAAATTCATTCTCAAACATTGAGATTTTCAAAATCTATTTAATCAATATGATTCCAAATATGGTAAATTATCATTTTAATCCTCTAATTTTATATTATAATTTTATAATTTAATCTTAAACATATTTTTATTTTAAACTAATTCTGTAATGACTTCGAAATATCTAAAGAAATAAATTATAAGTTAAGTATAGAAGCGAAATAAATAGTTAAGGTTTACATTCTTTACATATAAACTTAAAGTTTCAAATAATGCTATAAGAATTAATCTTTTTAAGGAAATAAACAGAAAATAAATAAAACTAGTATCCTACTCGCAACCCTCTTGTGGATCGGGCTCTGAATCCTGCTTCTCTTGATCTCAAATGGTTAAATAAGGAATAAACTACACTGACTCAGTAAGAATATCACGCTACTCACTGACACATAAACGAATGTTAATAGAAAATCAAAACAATTAATGAAGTACTTAGTTAAATAAATACATTTCTTAATAATAAAACTATTTACCATCCACTTACCGCAGCGAGATTTATAAAAGTAACCTACAGAGACAACAACATAGCACTTATCATGATTTTATATGCAATTGATAATATGTACACATTATAAAT